GCAGTAACTGTGTGTGTTTTGTGGTTGAACGCGGCAGTTTAGTTCCATGTAGCAATGTCCCATGAAGTAAATAACCAATTTTGCTGGAGGGATTTCCTGGCCAGGATCCCGGGAGAAAATCCCTTCTCTTTGCAACTAGTGCTATGAGATCTTATCTGAAGATTGACATCTCCTATGTCAAAGGCGGCGGAGGGGTCGAGGAGGATGAGGAGACAGAGGGAGCCCTGGTCGGGATGTCATTTGTAACCTTAACTGGAGCAGTGTCCGTGCTGTGGGGGCAGCACGGAAACCCGATTGGAAGGGTCCATGGAGGGAGTGGGAGGAGAGGAAAGAGCGACACTGGGAGGCAACGGCTCTCTCAAGGACCTTGAATAGGAAAGGGAGGTATGAGATGGGCCGGTAGCTGGATAGCTGTGATGGGTCAAGGGAAGGTTTCTTCAAGGTGGGAGTGATGATGGCTGTTTTGAGGGGGGAAGGAACAGTGCCAGATGACAGGGAAAGGTTGATGATGTCATCAAGGGGGAGCATGTGGAGGATGAAGAGGAGGGGACCGAGGACAGAGCCCTGAGGAACACTGCACGAGACGGTGCGGGGGCTAGAGGAGAAGCTGATGTAGAAGTTGATGTGGAGTACTGTAGCTCAGTGGTTAGAGCATTCGCCTTGCAAGCGAGACACCTGGGTTCAATTCCAGGCAGGACGAAACCTTGGGCAAGTTTCCTTACTCCACACGCCTAATAATAATCCCTCCAAAACAATAATAAATTGGTCATTTTTAATCCATGACTGTTTGTGGGACGCTCTATATCAAATGCAAGGATTATTATTATTATGTCGGTGCATAGTGGGGCAAGGAGGTGGAGCTGGGATTTAAGGAGAAGGGTGGGGATGGGATCCAGGGAGCAGGTGGTGGTCTCAGAGGTGAGAGTGCTACCAACTGAGTGAGTCTACAAGAGACCAAGATACCACAGATATTTCAAAAGCCAAACATTCAATTTTTACTTGCTTCTAAACTCAAAGCATAACTGGATAAAATTAAACATACAATTGATACAGTACTTCATTTGATGAAGCAATTTATCATATTGAAATATTTTAAAGTGCCTCGCGGAACTGTAGGTAAATGTGGCAGCTTATGTTGCCAAGAAATGAAAGACAGACTCTTTGTTTTTGTTAATTTAGATGAAAGAGGAATATTGTCTAGGATACTAAGAGAGTTCTCTACTCTTCTTTGAAATAGCCATAGAATCTTCAACATCCACCCGAATCACCAGAACAAGCACATAAGATTTTGATTCAACGTCTCAGCCAAAGGAGAGCACAGACAATAAGTCAGCCCAGCTCAGTCGGAAGCACTCTCTCCTCCAAGTCAGAAGGTTGTGTGCTCAAGATCCACATCAGAGCTTTGAATTTATGGGCTAAGTTGACACTCCAGTGCAATGCCAGGGAGTGGACTGGAGGAAGTGCCCTCCTTCAGATGAGATTTTAAATTGATCTCGCCTGCCTTTTCAGGTGTACATTAAAGAATCAATGGCATTTTTCAAAAAGAGAAGGGAGTTTCTCCTGGTGTCCGAGCCAACAAGTCCCCATTTTAAAAAAAGAACAATCATTCACTTCATGGCAGTTTGTGGGTCACTGCTGTGAGCAAATTAGCTCCCACATTTGCCTATAAATATAGTCACTATGCAGAAATACAAATGAAAGGTTTATTATAAAACTCTCCTTTCTACAAGCTACATTTGGAAAAATGATGCGTTACCCCAACTTTCCTACTTAGTTACAAAGAATGAACCTGCAATATTGTGCAGTTGTAATTCGCAAACAACCAGATTAATCCTAATAATGTAAGTAATAATAATACTCAAATCTGTTCAAAAAACCACCTCCATTCAGCAACCACCCCTTGTTAACAACCACTCGGAACAGCCCGGACTGATTACACACACACACAAACAAACAAACCCTTACTCAGAGGCCACTCTTATTTATACAAAAGGTCACTTTGGCTCAGCCCCCCGTGAGGTTCAAGACAGGTATAACTGTACAAAGGTTACATTCTGAATATCTCATTTATGCCATTTCACTGGAACAAATGTGTTTATGTCTCAGTTCTTTCCGAAAGGAAACCTCAAATACCTAGTTTTATAGAGCCCAGAAATGGTATTATCTATCCAGAACAGGGAATACCCCAGTATCTTTGCAATACATTTGAATAGATTAAATCCACTACAATAAATCACAGCGAGTAACTTAATCTGTTTTCAGATTTTAAAATGACATTCTTAGAAGCTCGTAAAGAATAGTTCCGCTGTTATCTATTTGTCAGAACTGTCCAGTCTAAAAACTACCGATAAAGCACCAGACGCTTTGTGTAGCACCTTGTGACATACTGGCTACGGCTCGCTAACACAAAGAGGTCAAGAATCAAACCTGGGACCTTTATGATGTCTTAATTATGTCATAATGTGCTATAAAGGTGAAAAGGCGCTATAAACAAGCACAAGTTGTTGAAGCTTTAACTTGCTGAATTACTTCTACTATTACCTCCACCAAGGCATTTACATTTTGCTATGATTGTCACAGACGGTTATGGTATGTATAGTTCAGTTTACATCAGATACTTGCACATATTTAATGCTGCGATAGAGTTTCAAACACTATGCCACCTTGCATTTATATGATGCACAGTACTTTTCCAAACCACATTATCAATTTTTGGCTGAAATATTGTTGTGCTTGTCTTAATAATAATAATAATAATCCTTGCATTTGATATAGCGCTTTTCATGTCGGGAGGACGTCCCAAAGCGCTTCACATAACACACTGTGAAGTGAATTGACTGTATATTTGTGGGCGAACACGGCAGCCAATTGCGCACAGCAATGTCCCACAAACAGTTGTAGATTAAAAATGACCAATTTATTATTGTTTAGTTTTTTTGGAGGGATTATTATTAGGCTCTGTGTGGAGTAAGGAAACTTGCCCAAGGTTTCGCCCTCTGCCTGGAATTGAACTCAGGTCTCTCGCTTGCAAAGCGAGTGCTCTAACAACTGAGCTACAGGACTCCACGTCTTCATGATGTTCCTTAAATTTCCATCATGATGATGCACAACAGGAATTTAAAATATAATCCCATTGGGATTGGGAGCTCAGGTTATTGAGATCATTGGGGAAGAGTGTAACTGACTCACATCTATCTCACAAAAAGCAGAGGCAGAGGCTAGCCGGTCAATGTAAATGTACAGGAATCCATTTACTGGAAAGCAACAGCTCAGTGGTTAGAGCACTCGCTTTGCAAGTGAGAGAACTGAGTTCAATTCCAGGCAGGGCGAAACCTTGGGCAAGTTTCCTTACTCCACACGCCTAATAATAATCCCTCCAAAAAACAAAACAATAATAAATTGGTCATTTTCAATCCATGACTGTTTGTGGGACATTGCTGTGCGCAATTGGCTGCCGCGTTCGCCCACAAATATACGGTCAATTCACTTTACAGTATATTCTGTGAAGCGCTTTTGGACGTCTAGAAGACGTGAAAAGCGCTATATCAAATGCAAGGATTATTATTATTATTTAAAGCACCTATTTACACATTTACAGATCTGCCCTCGTGACTCAGTAAAACCACTTCCAGATCTGAATCATACAGACTACAAATGTCTGACGTGTGCTCTTCAGTCTGACTAGAGTTATCGAATTACAGCTATAAAGCAATAGGGTGCTACAAATGGTCTCAGTGCCTCGAGTCAAAGATGAGTGTGGTGATGGGAGGGCGGAGGGGGGGACGTCAGCTAAGTCTCTGTTCGTTATCTAGAGATCTGCTATGAGCGTTTAATATTACAACTGTTCCATGATGAAAAGTCTAGCAGAATAATTTGTAATACCAAAAGCCGGTCGTTTTTTCAGGGGTAATGATTGCTTCAAAATAATTTTTTTTAAATTTGATCACTCAATCCATGGCTGTTTGTGGGACACTGCTGCCATATTTTGCAATTGGCTGCCATATTTTGCCCACAAAACATAGTTAATTCATTTTACAGTATATTCTATGAAGTGCTTTGACTTGTTTCAAAGATGTGATAAGGCGCTATATCAAATGGAAGAATTATTATTATATAATGCTCTACGTCAATCTCACTGAGAAGATTGGAAACTCTCCTATCTGCAGAAAATCAGCAGGATGAACACTTTTGTACTACAGCAAATTGCTTTTAAGTAGCGGGACTCACGCAGAGTAATGACTCAAGAGTGCTTTAGAGAGATGATGCCAGACAACGAGCAGGAGGGAGAAGAAGGTAAGTTTTTAGGCAGCTGTTGAAGATAGAGGGAGTGAGATGGAAGGTGTGAGGGAAGGAATATTGCCAAGGCGGGCGGAGAAATGTACAACAGGTCTGAGTTTACCAAGCAGAGGGGAGCAAGCAGAATGAATAAGGCTGGAGAAAATCACAGAGGTATGCAAGTGCGGGGTCATGAAGGGATTTACAGGTTGAGCTTCTTGAAGTAGATCAACTGTGAGACAGTGAAGCCTGGCAAGGATGAGCGTCACAGACATAAAAGATTTTGTGCAGGTAAGGATGCAGGCAGTGGGGTATTACGTGGAAGAGGGCACTTGAGAAGTCAAGCCCGTAGGTGACAAAGCTGTGAATGAAGATTTCCAAAGCATTAGGGTGAGATAGGGGCATAGGAGGCATACACAAGGGAGAAGGAAATAAGAGGGGCTATCGAAGAGGAGATTAGGAGGGGTGAAGGCTGATGATGTATAAAGACCAATAGGATTTGTTGGGTTGAATGACCTGTGCTGTAACATTGTATGTAATTCTATGTAGTGAAGATGCAGAAAAGTCATGGAACAGTTATTTCATCACTATCATCACACAAGCCTTACACTGATCCTAAAAAGGTGTTCACTCTTGAATGATTATAAACAGAATTAATTGAACAGTTACCTATTGGACAGAACACAATGTCTTTTCAATTCAAGTAATGAACTGATAGCTCTTACCTTTACATTATTTCTTCCAGAAATGCCATCTAGATCCAAAAACATGTCCAGGTCACAGCCCATCTTCCCAAAGTTATTTACTGATGACCCAAATGGTTTAATTGAACATTCTGGAAAGTAGGCGGCTGCAATGTCCTTCACTAAGGAGCACACGAGAAAACGCAGACGCGTATTTTCTTCGGTAAGCTGGTACTCTTCACACACTGTGTGCAACTGTTGATCGATCTGAAGTAAAAAAATTAAATTAACAACTTGTTTAGAACTAAAACCATTTTTTGAAATTCACTGAAATCAACTCAACATTAATATCAATACAATGCATATTTCAACGTAAATAATTTATATTTATTTAGTACTTTTAATGTCAGGATGATATCTCAAAGTTGTGCTTCACACAACTGACTGGGAGCCGGAGCTTGGGGAGGTTACATTAGTTTCTCTAAGGATCAAATAAACCCAAATGATTCTTGAATCATGGAACATTTACTGGACAAAGACATTTGCCCTTTGTGTCTGCTCTGTTGTTTGCTCTCTCAATGGGCTACAGTATGTACTCTGATCCCATTACCCGCATCTTTCCCTGTATCATTCATTATTTTTCCTCAAGTACTTGTCCTTGAATACAAACTCTATTTTATCCATGCCGTGCAAACTTACAGTCTCAGCGCCTGAAATCTTCCGTAAAAGTTCACTGTGGGGAATGGCAGACAGCTTCAGGCACTGCACAGAAGATTGTGCAGTAGAGAGCTCACCAACATTGTTTTTTCTTAAGTTGAAAAGCCTGGACTTGAAGGGAACAGCACATTCATGCTGAAGACGAGGGATACAGGTAGACTCTTTGAGTGCTGCTATATCTTCCGTCCCAGAAAACTCTACCACTGCGTAAGCACCCTGTGGAATAAAGGAACGTCCTGTTAAAAATGACCACGTATTAACAATTCAAATAACAGGTATTAGTTTTGTAGAAAGGAAATCAAACTGATAAAAACAAGTTTAAGAAATGGTTTTGGTGCATTATCTACTTTAAAAAGACAGTTTGCATTTCCAAGGACATTTGCCCAAAGAAACATAAAGGGAAAGATGTGTTGCGACTTGAGCTGCTTACATTTTGTGGATTTTATTTGTTACCAGTTTTTTTTTAAAAAAAGGTCTTTTGCTCCACCATATTTTCAGCAGGGTAGCATGACCAAAGTATAACACAGCTTGTCAATTACCTTTCATGGAAGTCACACTCAACAATGCATAACTTCCAAACCATGAAGCTTGCAGGAAGTTCCTGGTACCTGCTATTCACCGAGTGAGGGCTCAAACCTGCTCTTGTCGGATGCCAAATGACCAACTAGTCATGGGGTGGTTGGGTGTGGGGGGGGGGGGGGGGCGAGGTAAGCAGGGTCTTCTTGGAGCTGAACTGACTCCAAAGCGCTATGTTTAGCAATGGAATGTCAAAGTTGAGCCATCTCTCTATGGCAGTCTGGTAGTCCAGTTCCTGAGCCAGCCGAGCTGCAATACTCCAGGACACTGATGGTAACAGCCCAGCCAGCCTGGCAGACCAGTCCTTGGAGGCAGGGCCTCTTCCCACTCCGCTCCCATTAACCCTGTATGCCAAAGCCCTAACTGGTAGAGTGGTCCTAGCTGGACTAGGAACGGGAAAACTTGTCAGACAGTACTGTCAATGGCAAGCTATGTGGCTTTAGCTGGTTAGACTTCAGCAGTACTCCAACAAACTCTAGGAGTACCCCAAGCTTTGACTTGCCGACCTGCGTCTAATATATAAGCAGAACGCATCCCTCCAAGGAGTCAGTGTGTATTCCATTCTAATAAAATTCTAGAATTTCCGTGTTTAGTGGGATAGAACTCCGTTTGGCTTAGATATTGCTAATGATGATAATGATAATAATAATGATGATAATAATGATGATCGGGTTCTGCATGTGTCAAGATACCTGGCTGACCAAAAAAAACATAAATTCTACAAAGAAAAATCTACACACAATTAGCAAATGGTTTACGAATAAGTCAAATGCAATGAGTCTCTAAATAAAACTACGGGTGTTAGTTCTACATTGCAAAATATGTTCCTTCGAGCAGACAGGTGTAAAGGGAAAAGATCATTTAGAAAGCTAATGGAAAGGTTCAGAGATTTCCTAACAATGCTTTGCAATCATCCTTGAATTTGATGTAGAGCCATATCACATTGTTGAAACATCTCAAAACACCTCAAAGGATTTTATTGTAAAGTTCAATGACTGCATTTATAGGCGAAGCTCAGCAGCCAATTTGCATAATGCAATGTTCCACAAACACCCTTGAAATTAAAGACTAATTTTATCTGGGAAATTATTTTGTCATGACACCAGGGAAAAGCCCTTCTCTTCTCAAAAAATGCCATGGAAGCCACCTGAAAAGGCAGACGAGACCTTGATATAACATCTCATCTGAAGGATGACACCTCTGACAATCCAGCACTGCATTGGAGCGTTAGCCTCCCAAGACTATGACCTCAAAGTTCAGTCTTGGGGCTCGAATCCACAACCTTCTGACTTAGGCAAGAATGCTACCAGTTGAATCAGGTCAACACCCAAACTGAACCAGGACATTGCTGTATGTTTCCTTGGTTACAGAACTTGTTTCATTTGACTTAATCATAAAATATGTGATCAAATCAGAAACAAGAGCAAAATAGTGGCTGATCATAGTTGACCAATTCCATCTGCTATGTTCAGTCTTATACACACAATCTTTATCTCAATCTATATTAAGCTTTTCATAATTTCATAACTAGTAACCAGTGTCATCCAGAACTCCTCATTTACCCACTCTGCAAAACCTGAAGCAATAGACCTGATGTATATGAAAGTCAATCTGACTCCGCGAACAGTAGTTATAATGTTAATTATAGTGTTTGGGATGCATAAAATCCTGCACATCCTACATTGCACGTTTGCAGCCGGCCGACTCGCTGGTTTCGTGGGTCGGTTCCCGCGCTAAAAGAAAAATGCCCAATATCTGGGTCATCAGGTCACCGCCATGTGTGCAGCAAAGCAGGAAACTATGTCATCAGCAACCAAACAACCAGAAGGCAGCCATTTTAGTGCAAAAGCTGGCCACAGTAAATGGGGACCACAGTACAATCACGTTATCAAAAATGTTATGATAGTTCATCATAAAACGTTCTGTTTCAATGACAAGTTAATAATTTACAACTGTGACACAATTAAAGTCCTAGTGACCTGAAATGCATAATTTCTACAAACAGAATTGTAAACTTTGCAAACAGTGAGGTATAGGCTTGATTTAAAAGCAATAGGTAATAATAATCCTTGCATTTGACATAGCGCCTTATCACGTCTCGAATTGCTTCACAGAATATACTGTAAAGTGAATTGACTGTATATGTTGTGGGTGAAACGCAGCAGCCAATTTTACACAGCAGTGTCCCATAAACAGTCTTGGACTGAGTGACCAAATCATCATTATGAATAATTTTTTTTGAAGGAATTATTATCCCTGGAAAAGCAATCCGCCATATTCCAAGAGTACAACGCAGTGTTGTTGAAAGTAGCAAGTGAAAGACCACAGCAGTGCTTCCACAAGCAGAGCCGGTCAACTCACAGGCACGCACCCGCACACAAGCTGAGAGCAAAGCGTGTAAAAAGCATAGCTTCATTAGTTTGCAGGCTCCTGCCCTTTTTGGCTACACTTCCTTCCGACTGCAGTCTGGCGCTTAATAACAGGGGATGTCAGCCTTGTAACACTGCAAGTGTTTTACACAGTACTGTATGTAACGTGCGCAAACATCTCCTGATATATTAATTAATGCACAATGTAGTTGGTGGTACAATATTGGAGGAAGAATATAAAAAGGGAAAGAGAATTGGAATTAGAGCTCCATTACACAAGCTGACACCAATTTTGCTCAATGGGGTAAATGACCTCCTTCTGTACTATCATTTTTATGACTCTACATTAGACTTGCTTGATGTACATGAATTTACAGTTTAGGAGATTACCTGAATGCTCATCTGTGCATTTATATCCTTTCCTGTGGAATCCATCATTACTCGGTGGCACTCTCAGAGCAACATGTTTCAATTCAATCAATACAGAGATTGTCAGTAAAATGCTTAGTTTTCAATCTTTGCTCTGCAACACTTACAAAAGTTTCATAGAAGAAATAATTGTTGATCGTTCCATAATGCGATAAGTATTTGTAGAATTTCTTCTCGTTGATATTAGGAGGGCAGCTAATCAAAACAGTGCGCTCTGCTTGTTCAAGCCTTTCCGCTAGGAAGGCTGAAAATGTCTTCTTTGTAACCGTGCTTTCCAATGTGCCTGAAAAAGGTACATATACATCCTGTAAGAACTCGAAATTAAAGTAGTTATTATTAAAAAAAATGTGAAAAATGCATTCATGGAATAAGTTTGTATCTCTCGCTCTCTGCCACCATCCACACCCACCCTCCTCTCTGAACAGCACAGAAATCATCAACCTCTTTGGAATATTCGTTCATCTCAATGTGTACCTCACAAGATCACACAACAGATATTTAGATGAAACCCTATCAGCTCATTTATCTCATCCTCCACAGTTCACATTCTCTTTCCATTACAGTATTAAGGTTTTCTACCACACAACTGCGCCATGACCCGCTCTGCCTTCCCCCACCTCCGCAACATCGCTCGGCTCCACCACTGTCTCACACCCGCAGTCTGCCGAAAACTTGACACATGTACACATGCTTTCATTACATCGAGGCTTAACTATGCAAATTCCTTGCTTATTGGCCTCCCCAACTCCTTCCTCCATAGGCTGCAGATCATCCACAACTCTGCAGCCCGTGTCCTCTCCAATCCTCTACTGGCTTCCCGTTACACAGAGGATACAGTTCAAGATCCTGGTCCTCACATTCAAAGCCCTCCATGGTCTTGCTCCCCCCTACCTCTGCGGCCTCCTAACCCCCTACCATCCTGCTCGCTCCCTCCGCTCAGCGGACTCCGGCCTGCTTCATGTCCCCCGCCTCACTTGCCCCACTTTTGGCCTTCAGCCGCTCTGCCCCCACCTTCTGGAACTCCATCCCGCAATCCCTCTGTCTCGCCCCCTCCCTCGTCACCTTCAAGACCTTCCTCTTTGACCGTGATTTTGATCTCCCTGCTTCGCCCCCGCCCTCCGCCTTCCCCACCCCGACCCCCAGCTCGGGTAGGAAACACTGACTGTCCAACGCCTTGAGACGTCCTCCCGACGTGAAAGGCGCTTTACACACGTGATGTTACTGTTGTTGTTGTAAGGAGTTTTGTTAGTGAGTCCCAGTTGGCCCTGGTCTCGGCCTCCCTCCCGGCCAACACATTCCCATGACTGTCTGTGGGAGCAAACACGTCCCGGAGCCTCTTCACAACTCAAGGCCCAGACCCTCCTGTCCTTAATAATATATCACCTCAGGTTCAGGAGGATCCCTGTGGCGGCCGAGCAGCTCCAGGCCAGCCCGAGGCCCTGGGTCAGGCCGGCCCGAGGCCCGGGGCCAGCCCGAAGCCCAGGCCAGCCCGAGGCCCTGGGTCAGGCCAGCCCGAGGGCCAGGCCAGCCCGAGGCCCAGGCCAGCCCGAGGCCCGGGGCCAGCCCGAGGCCCAGGCCAGCCCGAGGCCTGGGGCCAGCCCGAGGCCCAGGCCAGCCCGAGGCCCAGGCCAGCCCGAGGTCCTGGGTCAGGCCAGCCCGAGGGCCAGTCCAGCCCGAGGTCCAGGCCAGCCCGAGGCCCGGGGCCAGCCCGAGGCCCAGGCCAGCCCGAGGCCCAGGCCCAGGCCAGCCCGAGGCCCAGGCCAGCCCGAGGCCCAGGCCCAGGCCAGCCCGAGGCCCAGGCCAGCCCGAGGCCCAGGCCCAGGCCAGCCCGAGGCCCAGGTCAGGCCAGCCCGAGGCCCAGGCCCAGGCCAGCCCGAGGCCCAGCTCCAGGCCCGAGGCCCAGGTCAGGCTCTGGTGAAGCGGCTCCTCTCCTCCCGCTGACGCCTGTGTTACCTGCAGTCTCGCCGTTGACTGCCAACAGCGGCGGCGCCGCCTCAGCCGCGCCGCCGCCGCCGCTTCTTCTGCCGCTGCTGCTGTGAGCGCGGAGCGGCCGCAGCCTCCGCCCCGCGGCCCCGGACCCGGTACCGGCTCTCCGCAGCCACATGCAGGACGCCATGTCTGCAGCACTGCGCCTGCGCGGGCGGACTGAGAGAGAGGGAGAGAGAGACAGACAGAGTGAGAGAGAGTGAGAAAGACAATGAGAGACAGAGTGAGAGAGAAAGAAAGAATGAGAGAGAGAGACAGAGTGAGAAAGGCAGAGAGAGAATGAGAGACAGAGTGAGAAAGACAGAGAGAGAATGAGATACAGACAGAGTGAGAGAGACAATGAGAGACAGAGTGAGAGAGAAAGAAAGAATGAGAGAGAGAGACAGAGTGAGACAGTGAGAGAGAGTGAGAAAGACAGAGTGAGAGAGAGAGAGACAGAGTGAGTGAGTGAGTGAGTGAGTGAGTGAGTGAGCCAAAGCTGTCAGGTTGGACAGGTTAATGCCCAATTCGGATGCAAAACTACGGCTTGGGTGGGGATTAATTTTGCGTCTCTGTGCGCTGTAACGTTAACGTCAGGTGCTTACATTTGGGAGTTCAAGACCTTTTCTGACATAGTTTCCGAAGCACTAACCTAAATCGGCCACTCCGCTACCCATAGTAGATGACTTGTATTATCGGGCTACTTTTTGGCTTGTATTTCGTTGACTTTGGGCTATAAATGTGTTTTAACTTCTGGCAAACCTGTTCAGAGCCCAGACTTAGGCGATAGAGTGCAAACTTTGGACACTGGCCTGGGGGTATGCTCCTTGGGTAAGGCCTCCAAGGGTAACAATAATAATCCTTGCACTTGATATAGTGCCTTTCACATCTCAAAGCGATTCACAGGATAGACTGTAAAGTGGAACAACTGTATTGTGAGTGAACGGGCAGCAACGTCCCACAGACAGCCATGAAGTGAATGACTTTTTTTTATATATCTGGGGGATTGTTGGCCAGGACACCGGGAGAAACTCCCTTCTCTTTTTGAATAACGCCATGGGATATTTAACTTCCTCCCGATCAGGCAACCAGGACTCAACGTCTCAGGGACAAAGGACAGCACCACCAACATTGCAGCACATCCCCAGCACTGCTTTCTAAAAAAAACTTATAATAATGGCAATATTATTACCATATAATGTAATGGCTTATTATTATTGTTTGGGGTGAGATATGGCGGGAGATAGACAATATTCTGTAGATGAAGAAAAGAGTTTTAATAATAATCTTTGCATTTGATATATCCGGACAGAGGTGGGCAATGTCCCACAAACAGCAATGAAACAAATGGTAATTTTATTTGGGTAGTTGTTTGGCCAGAAAAGTATGAGAAACTCCCTTCACTTTATGATCAGTGCCATGGGATTTTTAACAATAAAACTAAAACCCACCCGAACAGGCAGACGGGACCTCAATATATCAACTCATCTGAAATATAGTCTCTCTGACAACACAATCCCCCACCACTCCCCCAAACCCCGCAGCTTTGCCTTGGAGTCTCACCTTAGGCTATGAATTCACAGCCTTCTGACTCAGAGGTGAGAATGCATTGAGAATGAAACAACATTATGCAAAACATTTCAGTTTTGATTTCTTTTTGGAAGAGTGAAGTATACGTCGCCCCCACCCTCCCACACACACTCTTCTTCTGCACCCTATTCCAGAGAAATAACCACCAGAACAACTGGCAACTACAGGACTCTTGATCTAGATTACATTTTTGGGGTGGGGGGGGCGCGGAGGGGGAAGGGGAGGAAATGACTAATTTATATGTATATCAATTCAATATTCACCCACATGCATAAAAAAATCAAGGAGTGAGGAATGAGATCTGAACATCCCACATTCCTGGGAAACTCCGATCAAGAAAGCAAGCTCTAGCGAGAGCTTGATCTACTGAGAATATGATTGTCTTGTTTCCTATGTAGATTTGGGTGGGCAGAGTGGCTTCCAAGTAAACCAGCCAGTACAATGTGAGTGGTTATGCGTGTATGTGTGTTTGTCCACGTGGGGAAGCTTGAAACCATCTAACGTACAGGTCTCGTACACAAATGACACAAGGAAATGGCACAGGTCCAAGTTTCTGATATTTCAGAAACGAGGTCATAGGGGAAAAAAGCTCTGCGTAACGTTGACGTGCTTGGGGAAGCCTCCCATGCCCAAATAAAGGATCAGTAACCATGGCAGAAACCAGGCTGCCATTTACTGGCAATTGCTGGGGGGGGGAAGGGTGAGACAAAGAAAGAGATAAAGAGCTCTTAAAGGTACACCGACTCCTAAGGTTCCCGCATTCGTTTTTGACAACTGCAGCCGTTTGACCACATTGCGATAAAGTTCTTCTGCTTTCTCGCATCTCCTAATTTTTTTAAAACATGTAAATATACCACCAATGTCTACAAACCAAAAATAAAAACCTGACATTAATAATAATCCTTGCATTTGGTATCGCTCCTTGTCATGTTGTTGGGACGTCTCAAAGCGCTTCAGAAAATATATTGTAAAGGGGATTGACTGTATATTTTGTGGGCAAAATGTGCAGCCAATTGCACACAGCAATGTCCCACAAAGAAAAAAATGTTTTTTAAAAGAGATTATTACCCCCGGAAATGATCCGGGTTCCTACTTACTGCTGGGAAAACAGAGGTGCGTGGAGTAAGGAAACTTGCCTAAGGTTTCGTCCTGTGAGGGAATTGAATCCAGTTCCTCTCGTTTAACATGGGCTATTACCACTATGTCACTATTTACAGTAATGTGTGTTTGTTATGTATTTGTAGGAATGAATAATGTGTAAAGATAACGCTTCACATTAGCTGATATTGCATTTCAACAACTAAACTTTAAATTGTTACCTAATTGTATTATCATTATAATTATCCGAGATGCTACCCCCACACAGGTGCACTGAGTGCAATAGGGGGCAAGTAAATCAATAGAAAGATACTGTCAATGGCTTAATTCCAGAATTATATGAAAGTAATAATGAACTGGTTAATGTCTCTGCAGTGGATCACATCACATTTGTGTTGACGTGAGTCTATCGGAATTTCCCAGCCTGGGTCAGCCTTGTCCACTGATCGACCTCCCTCCTCCACCCCCACAGCGACTTGTTTTCATTTTCTTTTATTTGTCTTCAGCTTCTTTGCCTTTTCTTTTAACATTTTTTTGTTTGGAGCATCGGTTTTGTTCAGGGTGGGCGTGAAATGCGATACTCGTGCGCGTAAAAATAAGTGAGAATCTCGCCCCATTGCCAGGTTATTTCTGAATCAAACTGGTGATGTTTGTTGGTTAGTATTTATTGTCGCAGTGAGTGGAGGTGGTGGGTTGGGGGGTCACAGTTTGACCGCATTTCCTGTTTGCATTGTGAAACTTGGGCTGCTTCCTCTTCTCTTGTGTCAAGTTTTTTTTTGTGAGACAAACTGAGAGGGGGTTGGGGGGGGGGATATTAAGCTCTGGACCTGGATGTTGTTCTGCCCCAATTCGGATGCAATCCTGATCCTATAAATCCTATAAAAGCAGCACCTTTTGAGGGGGGGGGAACTCATCACCATTTCCAGGTACATTGGTCCACACTTATAATAATAATAATCCTTGCATTTGATATAGCGCTTTTCACGTCGGGAGGACGTTCCAAAGCGCTTCACAGAACACACTGTAAAGTGAATTGACAGTATATTTGTGGGTGAACGCGGCAGCCAATTGCGCACAGCAATGTCCCACAAACAGTCGTAGATTGAAATTAACCAATTTATTATTGTTTTTGGTTTTGGAGGGATTATTATTAGGCTCTGTGTGGAGTAAGGAAACTTGCCCAAGGTTTCGCCCTCTGCCTGGAATTGAACTCAGGTCTCTCACTTGCAAAGCGAGTGCCCTAACCATTGAGCTACAGGACTCCACACTTTCCTTTGCATTTCTTTTTACACACACACACACACTCTGTAAAAACTGCCAGGCTTAAGCTGCTTGGGTTAGAGCTGCCTGGCTCCAGAATCTCTTTCAGCTTATCCTCCTGTTTGCCTCTCTGTGTCTCTCTGTCTGTCTGTCTGACCTACTATTCCACTACTTACCTGCCCGTACCCTCCGTTCCTCTGGCTCCGGTCTGCTCCACATCCCCCGCCCCAATCGCCCTACCATTGGTGGTCGGGCCTTCAGCCTCTCAGCCCCGAGGCTCTGGAACTCTATCCCCCAGTGCCTTCGCCGCTTCCTCCCTCTCCTCCTTCAAGGCCGGTCTCAAGACCTTTCTCTTTGACCGTGCCTTCAGCTCCCCTCTCGACTCTCTTCCCCCTTCTCGCTCCCTCCCTTCCCTCCCCTCACCCTGACCATTTCCCCCTCCTCGCTCCCTCTCTTCCCTCCCCTCACCCTGACCATTTCCCCCCTGCTCGGGTCATGACCCAACTGTGCAGCGCCTTGGGACGTCCTCCTGACGTGAAAGGCGCTCTATAAATGAAATCTTGTTGTTGTTGTTGTTGTTGTCTGTCTCTGTGTCTCTCTGTCTGTCTGTGTGTCTGTGGGTGGTGTAGAGACAGAATTTTCAATGGCAGTATTTCTCAGGACAATGCATTCTCCTTTTGGGTTTAAAAAAAACCTCCCAAAGTGAAATGAAATCCCCACCACCAGCCCCCCACCCCCCCTCCCCCCCCACCACCAGCCCCCACCCCCCTCCCCCCCCACCACCAGCCCCCCCCCCCCACCACCCCCCACCCCCCCCCCCCCACCAGCAGCCCCACCCACCCCACCACCAGCCCCCACCCCCCCCACCCCCCTACCAGCCCCCACCCCCCACCCCACCACCAGCCCCCACCCCCCCCACCAGCCCCCTCCCCCCCACCACCAGCCCCCACCCCCTTCCCCCCACCACCAGCCCCCACCACCAGCCCCCTCCCCCCCCACCACCAGCCCCCACCCCCCCACCACCAGCCCCCACCCCCCCACCACCAGCCCCCACCACCAGCCCTCACCCCCCCCACCACCACCAGCCCCCACCCCCCTCCCCCCCACCACCAGCCCCCACCCCCCACCACCAGCCCCCACCCCCCCCACCACCAGCCCCCACCCCCCCACCACCAGCCCCCCACCCCCCCTCCCCCCCCACCACCAGCCCCCACCCCCCCCACCACCAGCCCCCCACCCCCCCTCCCCCCCCCCCACCACCAGCCCCCACCCCCCCCACCACCAGCCCCCCACCCCCCCTCCCCCCCCCACCACCAGCCCCCACCCCCCCCACCACCAGCCCCCCACCCCCCCTCACCGCCCACCCCACCACCACCACAAGTGATCGATATTGACAGATCAGTAAGTATTTGGGAGCCTTCACCCGCACCTCACAGGGCGGCGGCCCCCGAGCAGCTGTGAGGGGTGTGAGATGGGGCACTGACCGGTTTCAGCCTCTGGACTGCGGGGACGTGTGTCCGCGGAGTGTAAGTGCAGTGTAGTTCCCCCTCTCAGTGAACTATATAACCGCTCTATTTGGGTTCCGCTCCTCCTACTTTCGCTTCCCCTCTCTCCGCCCCCGAAACCCGACTCGCACCCAAATCTGGTTCGTGCAGTCAGTGAGTGAGTGAGTGAGTGAGTGCCCTCCGGAGAGGCTCTGCGGCTCTCACACTGCGCTCTGTCTGTGTCTGAGTGTCGGTGTCGGTGTCGGTGTGACACTGACTGCTGACAGTCTGGCCGGTCAGTGGCTTCAGCTCTCAGGGGATGGGTGAGACCCGCTCGGTGTGGCTCAGCCCTGTCCCGTGTCGGTGATCCCCTCAGACCCCACAACCCACCCCCTCGCCTCTGATTTTGGGGACAGGTCAAAGGTATGGAGTACGCGCTGACTGGACGGCTGGAGACCTCGAGCTTGGAATCACTGTGGGCTCACATGGACCACATGATAGATGTGATGGACTCGCTGTATCCCCTGGAGGAGACTGGACTGTACCACCAGAGTCGTCTCTCTCTGGGAGATCATCATCAGCAGCAGCAGCAGCAGCAGGAGGAGGAGGAGGAGGAGGAGGAGGAAGGAGGAGATGGCAATGAGTCTCTCTTCCTCTCAGTCAGATATGGGACAGTGAAGGATTTGCTCAGCTTCGCAAATCAGGTGTCGAACACTTCCCGGAGTCACCACCAACACCTGAAGAAGCGCGACGCAGGAATAATATTGAATAAGGTGAGGAATCTGATGATACTACTCGTAATCCTTGGATTTGACACAGCGCCTTATCACGGCCTTCGAGACGTCTCAAAGCGCTTCACAGAGTATACTGCAAAGTGAATTGGCTGTGGTCAATAATTACAAAAATAATAATACACACATTTCTGTATTCCACCCAACAGTAGACTGCAAATAAATCAAGAATGTTTCTAGTACTCTTATGTGACTTCTGCTCTCTTAAAGGTACATGTGTAACTGTTTTAGAAATTATAGTTTTAAAGCTACTTTACCTGACACACAAAGATAGACCGTACATTAATATTGATCGAATCGTTCAGATATAAGAACAGTTATTATAAATTGTTATAAATTATTATAAATTATAAATTGAGGTTTAATATCATCTACTCTCGATTAACTTATTTTCTGACACTAAGGAAGTGCTGGTAAATTGTAGATGTTTGTTTCTTTCTTAGTCACAAAGCAGCTTTGTTCCTCAAACTAACATGAGGGTTGGGGGTGGGGGGTGGGGGGGAGTGAAAAGAGAGAGAAGAGTTTTTCTAACTTCTGGTGTTTTACTTTTATCTTTGCAGAAAGACATTTGTATAAAAAATGGGCATTATCAGGTTGATTCCGAAGTCTTCTTGTTTCCATGGAAATTTGCCCGCAGGGACATTGGTGTTGACTACATTCCTCGAGGAGCTTTTGGAAAGTGTCATCTTGCCCAGGACCGAGAAACCAGAAAGAGAATGGCGTGCAAATTGGTACAGTCATTTAGAAACTTTGTTTTTCTTTTTTTTTGAATACATAAAAGACATTAATCGAAATACACAGACTTCTAAGTATCATCTGTAGAAATTGGTTTTCAGTAAAGTTCTAAACATGAGCAATAGGGATTAAACATGAAAGATCTGTACTAAACCAAAGGTGAATTCTAGAATATTAATCCTAAATAACATTAACTCTTGCAGTACCCAGAAAATGGTCACCTTTCCCTTTGATTTTGGACCATGAGGGGTCCTTGTTGTCGCAGTTAAATGTAATTGCATTTGCTAATACTTTAAAATTCTTGAAAGAAAGTTACAATTAACATTTTTGTGATAGGAATCGTATTGCCTTGCAGGAAGTGTAGAGCATGTCACAGCCACACTATTGCGTACCGATTCCTCACGTGAGCTTTACCCGGGATAATACTACTACTAATAATAATAATCCTTGCATTTGATGTAGCACTTTTCACGTCTTCTAGACGTCTCAAAGCACTTCACAGAATAGACTGTAAAGTGAATTGACTGCATATTTATGGGTGAAATGTGGATGCCAGCTGTCACTGCACGCAATCTTGACTGTTGAATTATTATGGCCAAGTGAACACTAATCAGGAAACCTTAAGTTGTTGTACTCCCCCGCTCTCCCTTCAAAAAAATATGGAGGGTGCCAGAGAGAAACAACAACAACTTGCATTTATATTGCGCCTTTCACATGCGGTAGGGTCTCTAAGCGCTTAACAATGGCATGGTTTGACGGCGAGCTGGGGAGAAAGGGGAGGTGACCGTAAGCACGGTCAAAGACGTGGATCTCAAGACAGGCAAAGAGGGGGTAAGATGGAGGGATTGAGGCAGAGAATTCCAGAGAGTCGGCGCTTAGTTGCAGAAGGCAAGGTGGAGTGGAGGGATTGAGGACGTGCAGTAGGCCTGAGCTCGAGTCAAGTGAGCGAAGGAATTATTTAATTACTTTACTTTTGCAGCAATTACTTTAATATACTTTGAATTTCTGCATTACTGTTTTGAGGGGACTCCCATGATGACTCAGCAGATGAATGCTATGTAAATCAAAAGCTCGCAATCCCTCATGCTCGCAGGCCTTAAAATCATTGTCTTAAAATGTAAGACCATGTGGAAGTTTAGAAAATTCTTAAATTAGCCTTTAATTTTTAAGCCATTTTTCTGCAGGTCCTTTTTTAAGATTTTGCAGAAAAACAAGCTCCCAAATTAGAACAACCACAACTTGCAGTTATATAGCACCTTCTACACAGCGATAGCATCTCAGAGCGGGAAGATAGAAATTAAAATGGAATTAAAACAATTTCTAAAAGTTTGTGCATTGTGAACCTCGGAGACAATAATAATAATAATAATTGTTGCATTTGATATAGCACTTTTCACGTCTTCTTGATGGTCTAATGGTCTAATATCACAATCACTTAAAACCTCTGTAAGGTGACGGGTTCAATATCTGGTCAGTGCTGAGTTAGCTGAATATAGTACTGTTGGTCATGGTTTGATTGCCATCCAGTGACCTGTGCTGAAAAGATATGCTTGTGATTGTTTAGCGAGGAGAGGATCCGTATCCAAGGATACATGCTTGTGTATGAAAATGGCTCCTTTCGTGGGATGCCATTGCTTGTAGCTCTGAGTCAGACGTTATGGGTCCAAGCCCCACCTCTGGACTTGAACTCACATGGTCTAAATCAGACACATCAACAAAGTGGCGGGGTGGGTGTTTCTTTGTCAGAGGTGCTGTCCTTCAGATGAGAGGTTAATCTGAGGTCCCGTCTGCCCGTTCAGGTGGTACTCCTCAAAACAAAAAGCTTGTTTACCCTGTTACACTGGCCAACAATCCCCCCACCCCAAATAAAACTCATCAGTCATTTCATGGCTGTTTGTGGGACATTGCTCTGCACTAATTGGCTGCATATACGTCTATAAAATAAGCAGTCAACACACTCTACAGTACATCAAAACCCCGTCAAGAGCTTTGAGATGTTTTGAGATGATAAGTTGCTTTATCATATTCAAGAATGTGTGTGTGTGTGTGTATATATATATAAATATATACTTTTATTCCTAGATTCCAATGGAATCCTTTAGGCCTGCTGACATACAGATTCAAGCTCGCTTCCGACATGAGAACATTGCAGAGTTGTATGGTGCCTTGCTGTGGAATGAAACCATACACCTGTTTATGGAGGCAGGAGAGGGAGGCTCGGTCCTGGAAAAGCTGGAAAGTTCCGGGCCCATGAAGGAATTTGAAATCATATGGTTGACCAAACATGTCCTCAAAGCACTTGACTTTCTGCATTCCAAGAAGGTTATACACCACGACATCAAGCGTAAGTTTTTTTTCTATTTTGATTCCTGAATGGCTGTTTGTTCAGCAAAATGAATTTTGAAATAATTGTGTATCTGATTTGGAAATCTCCCCACAGCAAGCAACATAGTTCTCATGTCAACCAAGGCTGTGCTGGTAGATTTCGGTCTAAGTGTCCAGATGACTGAAGAGATTTACATTCCCAGAGATATTCGAGGCACAGAGGTAGGAACTGCAATGTCTTTGCTATACTGTACTGTGGAGTCCTGTAGCTCAGTGGTTAGAGCACTCGGCTTGCAAGCGAGATACCTGGGTTCAATTCCAGGCAGGGAGAAACCTCGGGCAAGTTTCCTTACTCCACACGCCTAATAATAATCCCTCCAAAACAATTTAAAAAATTGGTCATTTTCAATCCACGACTGTTTGTGGGACACTGCGGTGTGCAATTGGTTGCTGCGTTTCGCCCACAAATGTACAGTCAATTCACTTTACAGCATATTCTGTGAAGCGCTTTGAGACGTCGAGAAGACGTGAAAAGCGCTATATCAAATGCAAGGATTATTATTACTAATGTGTGCACTCTAAAAGGGAAAACAAATGATGTATTTCTTACTCACTTGAATGATACCGGGCTTGTGTTAACAGTGATTGTTGTTTCAAATCAGCTTTGACCAAACTTCCACTTATTGGTGGGTTTCATTGGTTACTTGCTGCTAAGCATCTCCAAATGTCATGAGTCAGCTGTGTACATCATGTATTATTTTAATACGAATGCCAAATATGAAAGCAGTGCTGAGACACTTCAGATGCCATACCCAATCGGAAAACTAGAGTTTCACTTCATCAAAAAAAAGATTTCTGATTTTAAAAACAAAGTAACTGTGCCTCCTGTCTCACTGGCTAACCTTTTGTGTCGTGTGTCTGCCTGTGTGTGTATGGAATTGTTTCCATGGTGCAGTTGTACACAAGCATTCTGTGTTTTGTAATTTATCTGCTTAAGGATTTGAGATCCTCTCTAGGTTTTGTGTGTGTGTGAATCTGCTCCATGTTTTGTGTGAATGCTACTCAATTTTTTATGTTAATTATGTATTCATTATTACTAATTAACACATAATTATTATTAATTAACATTGACAAACAGCTAATAGTGAGGGACGAGGACGATGCTATAATGAACAACATGTGAAGTCATGAGTCATGAGAAAAGCTTAAATACATTTGGACTGTTATTCTTGAAAAAGTGCATCATTTGAGTGGACCTGATTGAAATGTTTAATATCACTGAGGGAAATGATAACATTCTTCTGCTAAATAATCCTAAGAGTTCAATTATCAGGGAAACAAACATAAAAATGAGCAATTTAAGAGTAGGAAGGGAGGTCGAGCAAAACTCCTTTGCACAAAGGGTAACAAACTTAATGATTGTATGATTCTAAGTTACCGTGGAAGTGCAGGACTGGGAAATTGAAGTTACATGTGGTACTCTCTGGGGCAACCTAGTGGTTGGTTATAATATGGCATTATTTGAAGATGTGGGGGTTAATTTACAGGCTGTTAGTTGGGGAATACCAGCTGGGAATTTTGCAGAGGAGAGTAAATATAAAATGGCTTTATACATTTTTTTTTAAAATCACTTAGGAAAATTCTGAATTTCACCTGTAGACTCCTAGTTGACACGAGCACTAGTAATTATACAACAACTTGCATTTATATAATGCCCATAATAATAATAATAATAATACTTGCATGTGGTATTTCACATCGGGAGGATGTCCCAAAACACTTCACAGGATTTACTGTGAAGTGCAGTGACTGTGTATTTGTAGGAAAATGCAGCATCCAATTTGCGCACAGCAATGTCCCACAAACAACTCATGACGATAAAAACAAGGTTTTCAAATGACCCCAACACTCTGAGTTATATATCATAATAACACTTATGTTAGGAACACCCTTCTAGCCTGGGGAAGAGTCTCTCTGAATTTGAAAACTAAGCTACGGTACTTATGAAGCTCATATTCCATATATTAATCAGAAGTGACCTCAATTTATTTTGTACTTCTGCCAGAAAGCTTCCTCTTTGTTAAACCATTCAAGAGAGGTTCTGGAACTTCCTCCCTCTACCACACTGTCACGGCTCAAATTCTACCTCTTTGAATGTGCCTTTGGTCACCTTTCCCTCCCTCCTTGCTCGGGGTCCAACCTTATCGCTGTAAAGCACTGCCAAAGCATTACCCTATGTGAAGGACCCAATATAAATGCAAGTTGTTGTTGCTCTCATATCCGGTGAATTGCATGCAGATCAGGAAGGAATTTACCCACAATTGTTTAAAATTCCTGTAATCTCTGTGCAATTTTAAAGAAATACCGTCCACGTGAAGAAGTGTCTGTCGTCAACTTTTTTTTTGCTTGAGTAGGAAAAATGGCTGGGAGTCATTTGTGTCTCGTCGACATTCTGAGCAAGTACAGTACCAGAAAAATAGAGTGTGACTCTTGCGTCATGCTCTTGCCAACAGACAGTAAAATAAAATTTGTCAAACAACTTCAATGGGAATAATTCATCTTTAATACAATGACTGTACTGTATATTGTTATATATAGTATGTGTGAGTGTGTATAATCAATAATACTTTTTTTATATAGTATGTGACTACGTACATCTGTATGCGGGTGTATGTCTGCGCGTGTGTGTGTCTGTGTGTGGGTGTGTGTGTGTGTGTAGGGAGAGGAGGTGAATGCGTGTATTATCTGCATGTGTGTGTATAAAAATAAATATAATAAGAATGTGGTCACTCAATGTGGTCACTGTTTGTGGGACACTGCTGTGCGGGTTTGTCTGCCGTGATTCGCCCACAAAATATACAGTCACTATACTTCATAGTATATTCTGTGAAGCCCTTTGAGACGTCTCGAAGATATGATCAGGCGCTGTATCAAGCGCAAGGATTATTATTATTACTAACCATGAAACAGGCAAAGCAGGTTTTCTTATCACGTTAGACCTCAAACAATTTTAGTAACTGGAAACTTGTTTGAGAAATAACACATTGACGTCTGTAAACAAGGGCTGTATTTTTGTAAGACGTCCCAACAGTAGGGGAAATACATGTAAGAACCAGGAGTAATTCATTACCTCATGGGAATAGAGGTCACACTGAGTTCACATAAGCAAGCTTAAGACCAGTTTATTGTACTCTGCAAAGTGAATAAACTCCCCATTGTTTGAAAACTATTTAAACTATTTATTTAAAAAAAGGGAATTTCTCCTTGTGTTCTTGCCAATAATTCTCCAGATTAGGTCTATCCTGTTATTCTGTGGGATTTACTTAGAATAAAATGGCATTGTGGACCCTCAATTTAGAAAATGAAATTCTTCTTGCTACTAAATATTAACAGCTATGTCGCAAGATAATGATAACAAGATAATAAACCCACTTTAAACGGAGTATCCCATTATACCCACACATCATCAAATTCTCTACTGTTAGCAGAAAGAGGAACTTCTCCTCTATAAAGTAATAATTATTTTAAAATAGGATACTTTCTCTTTATTATATTTATGCAGTTTGTTTTCTGCCATGGCAAAGAAACCTTGTGAGAGAATAATTTAATCCATTGCCTGTGTCCTTCTGTTTTCTTGCAGTTTTATATGAGCCCAGAGGTTATTACGTGCAGAGGTCATTCGACAAAGTCTGACATCTATAGTCTTGGTTCCACCATTATCCACATGCAGACTGGGTATCCACCCTGGGTGAAGAGGTACCCGAGATCAGCCTACCCTTCCTACTTGTACATCGTAAGTTTACCAACAGCAACACACACAAACAAGAAGTAATGGATCAGTCAGAGTGAACTAGCTTTCCGGTCAAGCCAAAAAGTGTGGAGTCCACACATGGCGAACTCGCAATAATTAAATTGCTTGTCGTGCATTAAGTGATTAATTCACCCACAAAACACACACTGACATTATATCCTGTGAAGAGCTTTTGGGACGTCCTCCCAATATGAAAGGTGCTCTCCCAAATATAAGGATTACTATTAATTCCCATGTCCCTGCAATTAATGTAACAGCCATATGTGGTGTCATTCCATGTTTTACATTACATAATAGAACAATATAAGTTTTATATAAATGTATTAATATTATTATATAAGCCCAGAGGTCAAATTTGCTCTGTATTTAGTTTAAAACATTAAATATTTATTTAAATAAATATTTATTGAAAATAATATTTGTCCATCTTGGACAGCCATACCTGATTAGCAATTGATTGACTCTTTGCTGTTTTGAAGTATAAATTGTACAGGACTAGAATTAACAAAAGGTGTAGTGAAGTTTTGTTCTTATGTCTATTTATCTTAAAATTCGTAAAGAGTAGGTGTAAAGAACATTAAAAGTACACAAGGAATCGGCCCAACACTTCACTGAACCCTCATGGTTGAAACTGTAGCAACTGTTTGGTTGTTTGGCCATTGGTTTGGAACCACAATGACACATTACTTTTAGCATTAACACTGACTAACACAGGCAGGTTTGAAGCCTTAGGCAAGTTTTCTCACTCTACACGTCTCTGTTTACCTAACAGTAAGCAGGAACTCCGTTGTCAGTCGATTGGCGGATCGCTTTCTGGGAGTAATATCTCTTTTCAAAAAAAATGTGGTCACTCAATCCACGACTGAGACAACTGCTGTGCGCAATTGGCATTTGCAAAAATTGGGTTGTAACGCTCTGGAAATTTATCCTTCTCAGGAAACTATTTCATCATTGAATGCAAATTGGGTTACTTGCCTAACTGTTTAGTAAGTTCATTTAGTAACTCGCCATGCAGGCTGGGATTACCTGGTCTCATCTGGAACAGTGCTGGGGGAGTGTAGGAGATTACAAAAGGAGAGATATCACAACAACAACGTGCATTTATATAGCGCCCTTCACATGGAGCGGTGTCTCAGAATGTTTAATTATATTGGCCTCAGCACTTCGGATTAGGGAATGGAAAGTTAGTCAGGGTAATGAAGGGCCCAAAGAAGGGGCAAAATCAATACACAGGAAACAGTTAGCAACTGCCCAACATGGCTGAATTGATAAAGGCACTGCTGGGACTGAGACTGAGTCTTCCAGTCAGTAAGGTCCCAGATTTAACTTTCGGTCTGTGCTGTGTTAGTGGGTTCAACAATAACAACAACAATTTGCATTTATATATTCATAAAGCAAAGCAAGTTTCTCCTGGTGTTCTGGCCAACAATCCCACAGATATAATGAGTCATTCAATTCATAGCTGTTTGTGGGATATTGCTGTACACAAATTGGCTGCCATGTTCGCCTACATAATACACATTCATACACTTTACAGTATATTCTGTGAAATGCTTTCAGACGTCCTCCCAATATGTAAGGTGCTATATCAAATGTTTTAATTTTCACTCCCACTCACCTCACAAGCGAGAGACCTGGGTTCAGTTCCCAGGCAGGGCGAAACCTTTGGCAAGTTTCCTTACTCCACACGCCTGATAATAATCCCTCAAGAAAAAAAAAACAATAATAAATTGGTCACTTCAATCCACGACTGTTTGAGGGACACTGCTGTGTGCAATTGGCTGCCGTGTTTCGCCCACAAATATACAGTCAATTCACTTTTCAGTATATTTTGTGAAGCCTTTGAGATGTCAGGAAGACGTGAAAAGCGCTATATCAAATGCAAGGATTTCTTTCTTTCTCAGGATTACTGTAGTGAACCTTTCGTTTAATTAAATCTTTTTCTCCGTAGATCCACAAACAGGCTCCCCCATTGGAAGACGTGGCTGAGGACTGCAGTACAGCGATGAGGCAGTTTATTGAAGCTGCAATGGAAAGAAATCCTAAGCAAAGGTGGTCCGCAGCAGAATTGCTAAAACATGCAGCGATGAGCCCCCCACCCGAGGATCAGCCACGGTGCCAAAGCTTGGACTCAGCTCTCTTTGAAATCAGTCGTGTCTTCAGAAAAAATGAACTGGAATTACCCGAACAGATCTGTGGTATGTTGTTTCAGTCTCTTCTCCCAAAGAAAGTAAATGAGCGCCTTGGGTCGTCCTCCCGACGTGAAAGGCGCTCTATAAATGTATTTTATTATATTATTATTATATAATGAAGTTGGCTTTAGCAACCAGAGAAGGATTAGATGGAAATTGCTACTTCAATAAATCCTAATAATCCTTGCACTCGATAGAGCACCTTTCACGTCAGGAGGATGTCCCAAAGCACTTCAGGAGACATACTGTATAGTAGAGTGACTTTTTTTGTGGGCAAACACAGCAGCCAACTCACCAGCAAAAGTGACAGCTACAAATGACCAATTTCTCAGGCCAGAAGGTTAATACATTGGCTAGTTTTCATTCACCGTGTTGTTGCAATTTACAATTTTTATCCTTCGGTGGACATTAAAGATACCATGGGACAATTCGAAAAGAAAACAAAGTTTCTCCCAGTGTTTACAGTATACCCTTTGAAGCGCTTTGAGACATCATGACAATGTGATAAGGCACTATATTAAATGCAAGGATTATTAAAATTATAGCAAAACATGTCAGTGGATATAGAAATTATAGAGCAGGGCATGGAAGGCAGTGAGAGAGTGATTTGAGCCTCTACTGGTCTTAATTTACTGCTGTTAAAAAAATAATAATAATAATAATCCTTAATAGCACATTCTCATTGTAAATACAGTTGACTATATCAGTGGACTCAGAGTAGCTTCTGTAATATCATCAGGACACCCACGTGATTTATATGACAAGGATGAACCGGAACTAATTGATGTGTTCCTCCACCTCTACCGCTCATTGCCTCTCAGCCTTGCTGGTGATAACCAGGTGCAAAGGTCACAATCAGGGAGAAAAAGTTTTGATACTCGAGAAGAGATTGTAAATACTTGGGATAATCCCAGAGCAATTAGAGATAAATGAACAGAACAGACTTAGACTTCAGGCCCGTACACCCATCCCTTTACAAAACTAGGGCTTTAAAACTTTAAACTATTATTTGTGAAATGGGCTTTAAAACATCTTGACAATGTGATCAGCTGCTATATTAAGTGCAAACATTATTATTATATATTATATTCTCTTGATACAAATAACACTATTGCACTATGTATTTGTGAAACCAAAAATGCAAAATGCAGAATGCCACTTTGATAGCAATAATCCTGTATGTTGAGGTTTTACAATACAATAATATAAATTTATAATTCATACAGTGCCTTTCAACTAGAGGAAGTCCCAAGACACTTAACAATATTGGGTGGGCACCCAAGTTAAGGATAGGAGTTGAGGGTCTCGATAAGCAGTGGTCAAAGACCTAGGCCATCGTGAGATGGACCTTGAATGAGATGATGGAGGGAGCAAACTGGATGGAGTCTGGGATGGAGTTCCAGAGAATGGGAGCAGATAGGCTGTAAACCTGTCCACCAAGAGTGGGTCAGGTAGGGTGGTGGAGATGAAGCAGGCTGGGTGAATGCTGAGCAAAGAGAGGGGCTGGGTCTGTAAGGTTGGAGGTGGTCACAGAGTCGGGTGGGTGAGATGTGTAGTCTCCAGACTGTCTGTAGTCTAGAGATAGGGGCACGGATAAGCAAGTTAAAATCAGCAAAAGCAAATCTTCCATTGCATCTTGTCTGTGTCATATGGGGGAGGTGGAGAACAAAGCCAAGGCATGCAAAGTTACATTAGTAAACACAATGTCATCCTGGCCCTGAGGGCAAAGGCTGAAATTGTTTCAAAATCATGTCCTCCACCAGATGCTTTCAGATTTCCAGCTGAGCTCGAGTTAACAGACACACCAGCCCTCTGGGTACTGGGCTAAACATTGCTCTCTATGCACGTAATATCTGCTGTGCTCCAGTTGAGAACAAACCCCTGGGGGCGGGTTGTGTTGACTGGAATGGGAGAATACCTCTCCCATTCCTCATAAATCCCATTGCTCACAAAAATAACAAACTACTGCTACATTATCATTGGGTCATCAGAGGAGCTGGAGATTCATATTGCTATGTCTCATTGCAAAATTATTGAATTGAAAAAATCTAGGACAGAAATCTGAACAACTGTTGTCGACGATAGCAAATGCAGACACTGAGCCATGCTCTTTATCAGTCTGGTCCATAACCCATCTTTAATTTTAGAGGGAAATAAAGGAGAAAGAGCTTGATGTTTATTAATGTTGCTTTTTTGTTAATTCCAGATACATCTGTATGCAGCAATGAAGAGTCAACGGTAGCGAAAAGGAAGCACTCTCTTTATATTGACCTTGGCGCCTTGGCTGGCTATTTGAAACTGATCAGGGGCCCTCCTGGATCCGAGTATGGTTGACAAGGATAGTCCTGACAGAGATGAATTGGTTAGCTGACCAAGCAATGTGCCATACAGAACCAGTCAGGCCAGTTACCTCTCACAGTAATCGGAGGAGTCACTGTAGGGATAATGAACATTAGATCACTATGATCGTAGCATTAAACATAGTTCACAGACTCACTACTATTGCATATTCTGCTAGGGATCCCTTGTGCTCTCACTTGTTTTATTTTCAATTAATGCTGTAGTAGTAATTGAAGAGTGTAACCTGACCACTGTGTATACATATGAGCGATTGTTACTTCTCTTCCTATATCGTATCTGAGAGTTTAGATATTGAGCTGAGCTTCTCTCCCATTGCTTTCAGTGATAATCACTGGTTTATTAATGTATAGTATTTCTTTCATGGAAATGTGTTCTAATTGATGAGATAGACTTATCAAAAAAAAGTTTTCCTATGGAAACAAGATTGTACACATAGTAAATGCAGTGCAAGTGAAAAAATGGTACATGACATGTCCTGTGAGTTGAGTTCACAGTAATCTTTTATCTCTGTAAAGGCAGTAAGCTGATAGCTTTGTACACCCTATGGGATGGGACAGTTAAGATAGTACAACTGTTCTTCTGGGATCTATTTGTTATATTGCATGAGCTCACTTGATGGCCTAGTTGGTAAAAGGTATAGCCGTATTCTGCCGTACAAACCAGAAAATTGGGGATTTGAATCCCAATATATACTGATTTAATTGATCTCAGCCGAGACAGCATTTGTAGATACAGTTGTCCTCTGCACCACCCCAGGAATGTGTTGGGGAGAGGAATATCATCCAAGGGTTCCCATTACATAGCGAGCCCAGCAGCAAGCTCTGCATGTCTAGATGCAGAGTGAGATCTACCAAAGTGAAATGGCCTGATAATATGCTCATTGTGGGAGGTCACACACCTCTTGGCACATAGAGGGTGACCAGAGCCTGTGGATTGGTATCTCAGTACAATGAAAACGGAATCAGACTTCAGCAGCAGAGGATATTGAAGGAGAAGAAATAAGAGAAATAATTACAACAGTGAGCAAGCGGGCTGTAACACCATGTCACACAATGTAGCAATACTTCACTGGATTAAGAAAAAGGAACTTTTTTTCCCCCTGTGCTACCAAAGGAGCATGTGTTTTGTATTTTGTTGGTGTAATTCGCAATGTCTCTGATTTGTAACATTTCTTTAAACTCTTAGACAAGTTGGTTGGCATAAGTTACGGTGAGGGTTGCTGCAGGATTCAAATCAGGGTGCCTTAGAGTGAATATCTATTCCAGTCTGAAAGCATTTTATCTTTCCATCTGGTCAACCCATCCAATATCTCAAAAGATGTATTTTCATATATCTGCAATTTATATTTGGTTCTAATTGGGTGTGGCCCCTCTCACCGCCTCTCCTAGTTATGTGTTAGACTGTTTCCCATGGTCCAGGCAGATGTTTAAATTTATTGTGAAAATGAGCACTGTTTATGATTTTAGCGAAGAGTATCTTTATCATTCATGTTCGTGGTGTACTAATGGGCGATTACTGATGGCATGAAGATCAATGGAAAGAATAGTGCTTAAAGTCTTTGGACCCCTCCAGTGCGTGGTACGTTGACCTACATCTCAGACTTTATATCATGCTGGAGCAACTTTACACAGACATTCATCCTGCATAGAGGCAGGCAGGAGGCAAGACTGGAATCAGGATCCTCCTCTGAAGAAATTGGAAACATTGGCAAGTGGAACTCTCCAGGTCACTCCTGCCCATGGCCAAGCAACGAGCCAAAAAGCAGAAGCCTGAGGAAAAGTTGCCTGAATGGCCTCTTCTTGGGGAATGGGATATGGACACTTTTTTTAAAAAAGAAAGTCAAAATCGAAGCGTCCCCATTTAGTGTAAGCTGCAGTTCGTCTCTGTTTGTTGTCAGTGGTCACTGCTCGTTTGAGATTCCTGTACTTCTTTTATTGTTAAAGATTTTCAATGTAATAAACTGCATATTGCGGAAATAACTCTCTGGCTCATTAGTGTTGGTTTTGTGTATGGTCTGGTGTGAAGATAATCATCAAAATAGGTCAGAGAGAGCTTCTGCAATAACTTAATGGGTGAGCATTCTGGTTGCTGTGGTTTAGAGGTAGATGGGCCAGGAAAGTCCCAGGTTGGGTCCTTGGTGTGTGCTGTTAATTTTTCTCACATAGTCCATCAGAGGGGAAAGGGCAACTGGCCATTAATGTGCACAGAAAGATCAACGTATCATTCTCTCACTTGATCTGTACCCAATAACTCCCCTCCCTTTGGAAAATGCACTGTTGTTTGGTACAGAGAGAACCAAGCTTGGTTGTGATTCCCAATCCATCGCTAGTAACACTTACATTGCCCATAATGGCTTTTCACAACTCTCTAAAGTGCATCACAGGATATACTCTCCTGACAAACAATCCCCCAAATAAAATTGGTCAGTCACTTCATGGCTGATTGTGGGACACTGCAATTGGGACTGCAGTGCTCACTTACAAAATGAACAGTCATTTCACTTTGCAGTGAATCCTGTGAATTGCTCTGAGGCATCCTCCCAACTTGAAAGTCACAATATTAAATGCAAAGAATATTATTATTACTGTAAGGTGTATTTGTTTGTGAGCAAACGCAGTGATCAATTTGCACACAACAACTTGCATTCATAAAGCACCCTTCACGAGGGGTAGCATCTCAGAGGGCTTAACAATGGCAGAGCTTGATGTGAAGCCAGGTAGAAAGGACCGGTGACCATAGGCATGGGAGAAGAGGAAGGTCTTCAAGTGTGATCAGAAGTCAGGCAAGGAGGGGACAAGGTGGAGGTAGAGAGTTCCAGAGTTTCAGGCCATAGTGGCCAAAAGCACAGCCACCAATGTTGGAGCGGAGGGAAAGATGGACGTGTAGAAGACTGGAATCAGGTGAACAAAAGGGCCAGGTAGTCAGCCTCCCCAACTCCTCCCTCCACGGGCTGCAGATCATCCAGAACTCTGCAGCCCATGACCTCTCCCACACCAGGCTATCACCTTTATCCTCACCTGGTTCCACTGGCTCCCATCACTTAGAGGATACAGTTCAAGATCCTGGTCCTCATCTTCAAAGCCTTCCACGGCTTTGCTCCTCTCTACCTTTGTGACTCCTAACCCCTTACCAATCTCTGCTCCATCCAGAATTCTGCAGCCCAGAGTTGGGCTCAGTAGGCTCCAGCCTGCTTCACATCCCCCACCTTGCCTGCTCCACCATTGGTGAGTGGGCCTTCAGCCACTCTGCCCCACCCTTTGGAACACCATCCCACAGTCATCCAGCTCGCCCCCTCCCTTGCCTCTTTCAAGGCCTGACTCAAGACCCTCCTCTTTGACCATGTCTTCGGTCACCCAACTATCCCTACCCTCTCCGCCCTCCACCCCTCCTGATCCCAACCACCAGCTCGGGTGCTGATCCCAACTGTCCAGCACCTTGGGATGCCCTCCAGATGTGAGAGGGGCTAGACAAATGTAATTTGTTGTTGTTGTTGTAGTAGGGAGCAAGCAGATTAGAGAGTTAGGGAGGTACTAAGTATTCTGGTAGAGTTCTGAATCAGTTGGATTTTCTGGGTGGTGGAGTTGGGGAGACCAGCGAGGCGGCTGTTGGAAAAATCGAGGTGAATAAGAGTTTCAGCTGCGTTGGGGATGCGGTATGTCGGAGGTGGGTAATATGGTGGATATGGAGAAAGCAGTCCTGGTCAGCGATGTGGGGATCAAATGTAAGTCGTGCACAGGTTCAGTAAGTCTAAGGGATAGGCCAGGGAGATTAAGAAAGTTGGACCTGCAGGTGATAAGACTCTGGTAGGAGTCAAGAAGGATGCCTTCCATCTTGTCAACATTCAGGTGCAGAAAGTTGGCGCTCATCCTGCCTTAATGTCTGACAAGCAAGATGACAGAACATCAGTGGTCCTACGATTGTAGCTGGAGGAGGAAAACTAGATTTGTGTGTCATCCGCATATTTTGTGAAAGTCGACCCCATGTCTGTGGATGACATCACTGAGATGGAGTATGTAAATGAGGAAAAGGAGGAGGCCAAGGCTGAGCCTTGGGGTATAATAATAATAATAATAATCTTGCATTTGATATAGTGCTTTTCACGTCGGGAGGACGTCCCAAAGCGCTTCACAGAACACACTGTAAAGTGAATTGACTGTATATTTGTAGGCGAACGCGGCTGCCAATTGCGCACAGCAATGTCCCACAAACAGTCGTAGATTGAAAATGACCAATTTTTATTATTGTTTTTAGTTTTGGAGGGATTATTATTAGGGGTGTGGAGTAAGGAAACTTGCCCAAGGTTTCGCCCTGCCTGGAATTGAACTCAGGTCTCTCGCTTGCAAAGCGAGTGCTCTAACCACTGAGCTACAGGACTGTATGGCACAAATGACCTTGTGGAGACAGGAAGAGAAACCATTTGTGGAGACATAATGATTGCAATGGGTCAAGTAGGACTTAAACCAGGAGAGTGTGGCCCACTGTGGTGGATGTGGAAGGAGATGTGATTAAGGAGGATGGCATAATTGAGTGTGTTGAAAGCAACTGGTCTAGGAAGTCAGTGAGGCAGAGGGAGCCCGGCAAACAGTGAGGATATCAACTCCAATTTTGATGAGCGCTGTCTCTGCTGTGGGTGATGCAAACTGGACCAGAAGGTCTAAAATAGGAAATGGAGGAGGTGTGAGTGAAGATGGCTGGCAACAATACATTCTGAACTTCAGAAATGAAGGGTAAGTTTGAAATGGACCGGTAGTTTGCACACTTAGAAGAATCAAGAGTGGTTTTCTTTGAGGAAAGGCGTGATGAGAGCGGTATTCAGGAGGAGGAAGCAGTGCCTGAAGAGAGGGACATGTTAGCTGTATCTGCCAGCAAGGAGCAGAGGAGAGGAGTTGGGGAAGGGATTGAGGCAGCAGATAGTGGACTTCATATGGGTGATGATGTTTGAGAAGAAGCAGGGAGAAACAAGGCAAAGGAGTATAAGGTGGGGGCAATGGTAGGATCCATATCAGAAAATGTGGGGGCACATGGGGGAGGAAGAGGATGTAGCCAAGGAGAAGCTGTCTATCTTTTAAACAAAAAAGTCCAAGACCTCTTTCCTTTTAGTATTTGAGGTGAGGATCGAGGGTCCTTGAGGGTGTGTGTGGTGGTGATGATGTGTGGTGGAGAACAAGATCTTGGGATAGTTGACCATCTGCAAAGGAGATCAGAGATTAGTCAGATTTGGAGATAAAGATTGATTCTGTGTCAGCTTGCCTCAGTCGCTAGCAATTTTGCCTTTTGGTCAATTGTGTGTTAAGCCCATGTCAGTGACTCTGAGCTCGCAGTGTAGACAGCGCAGTGATTCAAGTGCAGTGTCGAAGGAGCATGGCATTGTCGAAGGTGCCGTTCCTCAAGATGAGACTTTTGAGATGTTAAACCACGATCCCATCTGCCTGTTCAGGTGGACATTAAAGTTTCCGTTGCACTGTTCAAAATGAGAGGAGGCTTTCTCCCGGTGCTTTGGTAAAAAATCTTCCAGATTAAATTAGTCATTCACTTCATGATTTAAATACACAGCCACAATACTTTCCAATAAAAATCCTGTGGAGATGGTTGAGATATTTTAAAGATGTGATAAAGTGCTATATCAAATGTGGGATTAGTATTAAATCAAGTCCCATCTGCTTATTAAAGTGAACTCTAAAGAACGCATGCGACTATTTGAACAGAGAAGTTAGTTTCTACCTGTGTCCCGGCCAACAATAATAAATAGGTCATTCACCTCCTCGTTGTTTGTGGGGCAATGCTGTGCAAAAATTGGCTGCCCTGTTTCCCTACAAAATATACAGTCACTACGCTTAACAATAATTACTGTAAAGTGGTTGGTTGTTTTGACATCATAAGTGCTACAGTATATCAAATTTATTTATGGAATCTCCCCAACAATTTCCTACAAGACTAGAAGCTTGAAGACTAGAAGTTATAGAAATCTGCAGGTAATGCTGACGCTTAGTAATGTCTTCCCATAACTAACTGTGTCTCATTTGTTGAGACCCATCTGTACGTTTGTGATCTATATTCTGCTGATGTTTGAGAATTTAGCAGCAGGTATCAAAATGCCACATCTTGCTGAGTTGTAGAAAGTTAACATCTCGTAATGTCATCGCATTGTACTGTACAATGTAATAAACTGGTTGTTCAGATATTCAGGCAATATTACAGCAATATACTGTTAAGTGCTCCAAGACACTGATATTGCTGTTATAACATTGTTTGAGGTCTTTAATATAAACATGGATACGATCTAAACTAACATATGCTTAAGGGTATTAAGGAAGTCAAGTCAGGAGATTTGTGCAGCACTGACAGACATTATGAGGGAATCAATTAGGATGGTGGTAGTTCAAATGGATTGAAAGCAAGCAGGTGTTGCTCTCATAGAGAGAAGAAGGGTGACAAAATTAAATCTGGTAATTATAGTCCCATTATCCTTTCTTCATTAATAGGAAACATTATGGAGTCAATCATCAGAAAGGAAGTGGAAGATTACCTATTTAAAATAATCTAATAATTGAGAGTGGACATGGGTTCAGAAAGGTAGATCCTGTTTGACCAATCTCATAGACTTTTCTGAGGAAGTGGCAACCCAATTTGACTGTGGGAAGCCATATGATGTAGTATATCGAGACTTCCAAAAGGCATTCAACAAAGTACCACATGAAAGTCTCCTTTCAAGGACAAGATACAGACTTAGATTTGGAATTGACTTAAGGGAAGGAAACAGAGCATCTTTGTTTGGGAAGCAAGGTCAAAATGGGGAGAGATACTAAACAGAATGCCTCAGAGGTCTTTACTGTTCCTTGTGTGTATTAATGACCTGGATCATCAATGTCCCACTATTGAGCGAATGACCAGTTTTATCTGAGGGATTGTTGGCCAGGACACTGAGAGAAACTCCTTTCGCTTTTCGAATAGTGCCATGAGATCTTTAACATCCACCTGA